GGATCCTTCTCCCCAGGCAGCAGCGCTCCGCCGCGTGGGCCGAAACCCGCCTGGAGCTGGCGAGTGCCGAGCGGTCTAGGTGGCTCCTGTGGCACTGGAGCGCCCCGGTGGGCAGCTGCGCCGCGTCGCGCTTCGGCTTCGCTCCCGGTCGAGGCTGCAGCGGGCGCAGGCCTGAGGGCGAGCGGCCGGCACTGCCGTGGAGACCGGGCAACTCTGCTCTGCCCTCCCCTTCCGGGAGGGGAGCCAGAGGCTGAGGCAGCAATGCCCCCGCGAAGCCCCGCAGCTTCATCTCTAAACCGGATCAGAGCGTGGAACATTAGCATGCAGTTGCACCGTGGGAATGGCGTATAGTGGGGTGGCTTTTCTCAGCAGTAGTGATGGTTTATGCTGTGTTGAAGTTCCTGGCTGACTTATTAGTTGATGAATATAATGTGTAATGAGAGATCTAGGAGATAGGCATGTTTAGGACTAATAAACAGGTTAATGAAGAGTATGTGTGTCAAATCTAAACATAGCTTGGCCTTTCTTGCCTCTTTGTTAAACGTGTGTGTTGTGTTGGAAACTGTATTCGTGCTTTCTACATATGCTACTTAGTCTAATAGAGGATATTGTTTTTCTCTACAAACCAGGTTTCCCATAGTAAAAATACAAGACTAGGTAATTGTATACTAATAAGTTTATGGGGAGACTGTAGTTCAAAACTTAATACTGAGGAAAGGCCAGATCTGGACCTAGAAGATAGACCTGGAAATACTCCTTGTTTTGACAATGCAGTTAGCTATTTGAAGAAGGAACGAATGAAGTGAATCCTTTGTTTAATAGTATCTGGGACTGGATTTTTCACAAATAATTTATGGAGGACATGCTTTAATCTCAATGCGAGGATAACTGAGTAAACTCTTTAGCTAAATAAAGATTTCCATTTCCCTTTTCCGGTCTTAAGTTTCCAATATATCTGTCATTGTACTGTCTACGTAATGGTTGGTTGCGAGTATCAGGTTCTGAACTTCAAAACAGCCAGCTAAAAGGCAGTGGAGTAAGTATGTGCAGAGTTTTCATTTTTGTTGTTAAATTTTTAAATTTTGTCCCTGATGTAATGAGTATTTTATATTTTTGTCTGTTATTTTAAGGCATAATGTTTTTAACAACAGTATTACTCCGAAAGAGAATTCCTGGAAAACAGTGGATTGGAAAATACAGGCGACCAAGAGTGGTTACCCTTTCCATGAAGCAAGCAATGATCCGAAGGTTGGAAATCGAAGCAGAGAATGAATATTGGCTGAGTCGACCTTACCTGACACGAGAACAGGAGTACAAACATAACACAGAAGAGAGGCGTGCAAAATGGGAAGCTTTGAAAAGCCTGTTGAAAGCCAAGTTTCCTGAGCATAGATACATCAGCGATCATTTAAACCACTTAAATGTGTCGAAAAAGTGGACATCTTGAATAATACAGCATACTTATATTTGGCATGTATTATGCAGTACCACGGGATCTGCTGTTGTACCTATTATGGTAGTTTTGTAATTCAGTATAATAAGGGTAGATGACAAATGAGACTTTGCTACGGTATACAAAATCTTACATTAAAAGTAGTCCTACAGAACAGTGTTTGTATGTTTTCTTATTATTGCCTCTTCAGAAAAAGACAGTTCTCTCTGTGGCTCTCTGCCATCTGCCTGCCTTCTGTTCTTCAGGGGTTTTGCATAACACAGCATGAGTTACCAAGTGCAATGATGATGATTCGAGCTAGATTTATAGCTTCACTAATTTCCTTTTGAAAGCTAGGAGAACACACCTGCTCTGTTGAAAGGGATTATCCGCTGGTACTGACCAGATGGCTTACTGGTCACTCCTTCTGAAGGGATACTTCTGTATACATCAATACTTGAGACACAACTGACGCTACTTACATACTGCTCACTTCATCAGGCATGCAAGGACCAAGATGAACTAGAATTACAAAGTTAGGTGTATGAGGCTGGAACTCATGAAGGATTGTAAAATGCTCCATTTTTTTTAAACTTTCCAGAAAGAATTGCTGCATTTAAATGCCAGTGTCATTGTCATGTCAGTGTCAACTTGGGTGTTGCTGCCCTCTCTTACAGAGATTCTTTCTGATCTAAAAGGAACACAGCTGATTCCTGTTTGAGTGGCAATCAGATTTCTAAGTCATGTTTAGCGTCCTGAAGGAATATAGTCAGCCACGAGTCAGAGTTTTTTTATTTCTCCTCTCAAGACCCAAGTGACCTGGAAGATGTGTCAAGAGTGAGTATAATCTTAGGTTTGTTGCAGCTGGAGTGTACAAACTGTGAACAGTTACAGCATGTTGCCCGGGTAGGCAGTTTGTCTCACTGATCTAATATACACATGCTGCAGCTAAGCAATTTTCAGATTCTTTCACATACTTCTATTAAGTTGATGTTGCATTCACTGACAAATTCAAGTGTCAAATCCATTCATATTTTATCACTTTGGAAAAGAGGCCTAAAATGGTACAACTTTTTTATTTAAACATGAACTATACTTCAGCAAAGTATGAACAGGTCTGAACACTGATGTACAAAATCTTGAATGCACTTTCAATGGTTATAAATCGCTTAAGATAACGTTTATGGAAAAGTATACATATAGGGAACTTGCACAATACAATTAAAACATGAAGGAACTTCCAGGCAAAGTAATGTGATTTTGTATTTAATTAATTTATAAAAGCCCAGTTTTAAAAAGTTACTTCAAGTATTAAACTATAAATGGCAACGTTTTCTCTGTGCATAGGACTCGTCCTATGTGTAACATACAAAAAATACAATAAATGTGTCGTTGCTACATACATCTTTTACACTTCACCTCAAACTTACTTAAATACAGCTCATTACAAGTTTAGGCAGCACAATTAAAAATAACTATGTGGAAGTAGAACGGCTGGGACATTGTGATTAGTGCAAACGTTGGTGACCCTTGCTGGCAAATACAAAAATAATTGCAGAGATAACCCAGGGATGTTTAATTCTTCGAAGTTAAAAAGGGGACAGGCAGAGC